AAAAAAAAAAAAAAAAAAAAAAACGAGGAACAAAATAAAACGAGGAACAAAATAAAAAATTTCTGAATTTTGAAGTTATTTAATTCGAATTAATAAAGCGTTTTAAAATTTTAAAAGTCTGAATAAAATGAAATTTTACAATAAATTAATCAAAAAAACAAAAATAAATACTTTATGTATAAATAATATATTAATATTTTTGTAAATTTCTACAATGACTATTTCAGGTAGTTTATTGAGGAATTTACACCCCATCCCTTCATATTTAATTTATATTACACGTATAAAATCCTTTCATTTTTATTTATAAAATAGCTAAACAAGCACAATAATATTACAAATATACCTAATACGATGTGTTAGAAAATATAACCGTTCATCATAATTTGCGCCCAAATTTTTGCTCTCGCGCATCGTCAATAACAGGGTTCAGAACCTTTTCTTCTTCGATCAAAATCTCGCCCACATCAGAGAAATCCGAGCCAAAAATTCCTCCCCATCGCTACCTTTACTCGCTCGTCGTCGCACCAGTGGCTCTTCGCCGATGTTTTTCCCTTCAGCCCTTTTCGGTCGGTGCAACAGAGAGACGAGCAGCACCTCGCGACTCAGTCCACAAAGTTTGACCGTTGTCGTGGCGGTGTAAGCAGATCCAAGTCGATCCGTCCACCGTAGTCGTCGTGTTCAGAATTTTTTACTCAGAATTTGCTTATTTGGCTCTCTGAATTTATTCGTTCCTTTTTCGTGATCGATGAATTTTTGAGGAGTTCTTTTCTTTGGGAACCGTTTCCTTTAAGGTGGGATTTAGTTTTACTTTCTTTAATGGATCCAGCGTAACTTATTGATGAGCTCTTGGATAAAGTGTCGTTTTTTATGCTTTATGTCATTGTAAGAGAATTGCCCCTTTTTTTTTTTTTTCTTGTATGATTTGATGTTGATTTTAATAATAACAATTTTGAACTTTTGTGGGTGTTTAAGAAGTTGTAACCTTTGCACATATGCGTTGAAAATTTATATATTTCGAAGGTATATTTACAAAACCGAGTTGGTATATGTTGGGTATATCCGAGTATATCCAAAGTAACTTTTCTCTGGTTATCTGTTTAATATCTCCTTTTTTTCTTGGGTTATTTGTTGGGTATATCCGTGTATATCCGAAGTAACTTTTCTCTGGTTATCTAGTTATCTGGTGGGTATATCCGAGGTAACTTTTCTCTCTATCCGAAGTATCTTTTTTCTTTCTATGCTATACACTTTGTCAATGGCTTTCTACACCTGTTACACATTTTTAGTATTTTTGAAGTATATTTTTGGTGTATGTTAGTATATTTCTGCACCTGCGTGAATTATAATATTGCAACATACATTGAATATATACTAACAAAAACTCAAAATATACTACCTATACTACCTGGCGGCTGCTTGAATTACAATGTACAAGTTGCGTGAATTAAAGAAGTAATAAAAGAATCAGTTATTATTTTTCTTTTCTCTCTCTTAATCAATTTTTTTTTTTTTTTTTGGTTTATAATGGCGGATTTCACGCAAGTTACAAGATAACTGATTTAGATGCAATCTCTTAAATAAAATAGCTATTTTAGGTATTGTTGAAAATACTTTTACATTGAGGCAAAATTGAAAATACTTTTATATCTTATAGGAGAGAGGAATTTACACCCCATCCCTTCATATTTAATTTATATTACACTTATAAACTCCTTTCATTTTTATTTATAAAATAGCTAAACAAGCACAATAATATTACAAATATACCTAATACGATGTGTTAGAAAATTTAACCGTTCATCATAATTTTCGCCCAAATTTTTGCTCTCGCGCATCGTCAATAACAGGGTTCAGAACCTTTTCTTCTTCGATCAAAATCTCGCCCACATCAGAGAAATCCGAGCAAAAAATTCCTCCCCATCGCTACCTTTACTCGCTCGTCGTCGCACCAGTGGCTCTTCACCGATGTTTTTCCCTTCATCCCTTTTCGGTCGGTGCAACAGAGAGACGAGCAACACCTCGCGACCCAGTCCACGAAGTTTGACCGTTGTCGTGGCGGTGTAAGCAGATCCAAGTCGATCCGCCCACCGTAGTCGTCGTGTTCAGAATTTTTGACTCAGAATTTGCTTATTTGGCTCTCTGAATTTATTCGTTCCTTTTTCGTGATCGATGAATTTTTGAGGAGTTCTTTTCTTTGGGAACCGTTTCCTTTAAGGTGGTATTTAGTTTTACTTTCTTTAATGGATCCAGCGTAACTTACTGATGAGCTCTTGGATAAAGTGTCGCTTTTTATGCTTTATGTCATTGTAAGAGAATTGCCCCTTTTTTTCTTTCTTTTTTTTTCTTGTATGATTTGATGTTGATTTTAATAATAACAGCTTTGAACTTTTGTGGGTGTTTAAGAAGTTGTAACCTTTGCACATATGCGTTGAAAATTTATATATTTCGAAGGTATATTTACAAAACCGAGTTGGTATATGTTAGGTATATCCGAGTATATCCAAAATAACTTTTCTCTGGTTATCTGTTTAATATCTCCTTTTTTTCTTGGGTTATTTGTTGGGTATATCCGTGTATATCCGAAGTAACTTTTCTCTGGTTATCTAGTTATCTGGTGGGTATATCCGAGGTAACTTTTCTCTCTATCCGAAGTATCTTTTTTCTTTCTATGCTATACACTTTGTCAATGGCTTTCTGCACCTGTTACACATTTTTAGTATTTTTGAAGTATATTTTTGGTGTATGTTAGTATATTTCTGCACCTGCGTGAATTATAATATTGCAACATACATTGAATATATACTAACATAAACTCAAAATATACTACCTATACTACCTGGCGGCTGCTTGAATTACAATGTACAGTTGCGTGAATTAAGGAAGTAATAAATGAATCAATTATTATTTTTCTTTTCTCTCTTATAATCAGCTTTTTTTTTTTTTTTTTTGGTTTATAATGGCGGATTCCACGCAAGTTACAAGATAACTGATTTAGATGCAATCTTTTAAATAAAATAGCTATTTTAGGTATTGTTGAAAATACTTTTACATTGAGGCAAAATTGAAAATACTTTTATATCTTATAGGAGAGACAAAAATTTCCTAGTTTATTTCAAGCTGATCTTCAGCACACAATCCTTTATTCTCCGCATGATTTTTATTTTCAATTTCATCAATGCGTTCAAACAGCCCATCAAATTTACATTGCTTTATTATTGGATTGCCTTTTTATATAAAAACTAGTAATAATATTCATGTACAACATGAGTGTTGAGTTAATGAATATATATATAAAGTTATTTATGTCTAATACTAAACCTAACTCCAGAGCAAAAGTAATATAAAACAACATCACGAAACATAGATTTTCGCCATGTCAACATTCGGAGCGTAAGAATTTGCTACATAAGCACATTTTGAATTAATATATATAAAGAAATAATATCGACCAAAAATCTCAATAGATTTTGTGGTAATTCAAAACTTTATCCAATCAGATATATTCTGATGAAGAGCGTAATGTACTCAATTTTATCAGCAAAATTTGTTTATTTCAAAAGACTTGGATATTTATCACCTGAATCAAAATCCAATGTGAGATACATTGGACTAAACAGAATCTAGTTATGGATTTGCATAATAAACGCGATACTGGGCCAAGCCCAAACCCATCAACGAACAATAATATCGGGCCGATCGTTGAATGGCCCGATTAGATTCCTTTGCAGTCACCATACGACGTCGTCTTCCTACCAAAATTAATGTAAATTACCATATAATAATATATTTCAAGGCAAGAAAAATAAAGCCATTTCATCACACACACACACACACACACACACACAAAAAGGGCGACAGAGAGAGAGAGAGAGAGAGAGAGAGAGAGAGAGAGAGAGAGAATGAAAATCATCATTGTCACCGATATGTCCGAAGGCAAAATCCTCAAGACGAGAGCTTTATCACTTGTCTGATTGTATACGATCTGATCTGTTTTTGCCCATTTGTACAGTTCATACATGCAAGCATTGCTTGTTTTTTATTTTTTATTTTTATTTTTATTTTTTTTGCTATTTTTTCCCAAAAATAATCGACTGTTGTGAAGCAAAATGGGTGAAAGAAAGGGCTTTTTTTTTTTTTAATTTTCTATTTTTTTTTTCTGTTAAAGGTGAATCAATGACTTTACTGGGGTTTTCTTGTATCTGATTTTTAGCTTTCCAATTTGTAATTTGAAGGTTTTGTTGTAAGAATTAGGGCTTCTGTAAGTGAAACGTGCGAAATTGTTCGCTAGGGCTAGTGAATTTTGTCTGGTGTTCCTCCTGTGTATGAAAGTTTGGTGTTGTCCCTTTTTATGCTTTGGAATAAGAGGGGAGGATTGTGCTGCGTGTAGTAATTTATATAGCTTTAATTGTTCTAATAAGGGGGAGAAGGGGGATTTGTGGAATGAGAGTGTAGAAATGGAGAATGACGATGAATTAGGGTTTTTGGACGATCTTGATCGGTTTGGTGATATTGGTGACGGGGACGATGATTTTGAACTACTGTTTTTTGGTGGGGGAGCAAGAGGGAGCCGGAGGAGAAATGAAAGAACAGATCTTGCTGCTGAAATCTGTGGGGGAAGTCAACAAATTTCACAGTGGATAAAGGACATGAAGTCGAAATATGCTGATAGTAGTATTAGTGGAAGTCGTGGGGCGAACGTGGATGTTAATTTGAAGTCAGGTTTGGCTGCGGAGCCTTCGTCCTCAACATCGTCAGTGGCAAGAGAGAATAGTGATCGTGATACCCAGAATAAACGACCCAAAGTTCATTCTTCTTGCCTGTGAGCTCTGCCTCCTTAACTTATTATGTGCTATGTGTGTGTGTGTGTGCATGCATTGTTGCATGTGCAGCTTTCTATGTGACTGCTATATTTTTTTGAATTCGCATCTATGTAGGGATATCTGTAATCTACTTGTCGGTTATGTTCACCACGTGGAGTCTTTCCAAATCGGGCATTGATCTTGGGCCTTGATTGAATATTCCTGTCTATTACATCAAATCTTATTTGTGTGATTGTGGGCCCAATCTGTTTGGTCTATTGAATGTAGCCTTGTCGATTTGACTGTAAGTTTGCAGTGTTTTGGCATGGGAATACAGTTATTAAAGTCGAATGGCGAGTTCTGGTGATTGGCTCACTGCCTCGCCTTTGGACAGGTGGTGAATCTGTGATTCTGCCTTGTGAATATGAGGAAACAGATTGGGAAAGCTATATAAATAAATGAAAATATGTCCACGCAATCATTTTGGATATATTGATTCCAAATATACATTTTATGTAGCATTATTTAATGGTGTGCACGTGTCAGTTATACCAATCATTATCTTTCTGATGATATGGAATTGATTTCATTGCCCCTCGTGTCCGTAATTCCATTACATCGCTCCCTTTTTAGTTTAGGTAATGTGATGTTTTAATTTATATCCCTTTCATCATATTGTACTTTAGCATAAACAGGAAATCAATAAATTTATCTTTTTAATCTTTATCTTTTGAATTATTTGTCTATTCAATTGCGTGTAAGAAAAAAAGTCCACTAAAAAAAGCCCCAATTCGTGAATTTATTTATGGAAGAAGAAGAAGAATAAGAAAAAGAATTAAAAGAAGAAAGAGAGCACTTTAGTCAGGAAGATATTATATCTTTATGATGTTATAATAAATCCATTGGAAAAGCTTGATTATTGTCTTAATTTTGTTATCTTATGCAGGGATTTGGGAACTTTGGAAAATGAGACACATAATCTTGCTCCTCGGCACGAGGTTGTTAATAATCAGAATAGGCCCGTTTCTCTTGTTCCTGGAGAGAATTCTAGGAGCATTGATAATTCGACCATGGATGATTCCGTCGTTCGGATGGATCTTACTGACGATTTGTTGCATATGGTAGGTATCATATATGACGCATATTCACCGAATTTCTTTTTATCAGTTTTACAGAACGAAACTTATCTTAACATTGACCTCTTCTGTAGATTCTCGGTTTCTTGGGCCATATCGATCTTTGCCGAGCGGCAAGAGTTTGCAGGCAGTGGAGAACTGCGAGTACTCATGAAGATTTCTGGCGGTACTTGAACTTTGAGAATCGATACATATCTCCTCAGCAATGTGCGTATAAAATTACGTTTCTTCCTCCATTTTGTTCAAAAAGCTTCAATTTTAATTATCATACCATATGTATTGGTCTTGTCTATAGTTTGACCGAACTATTCATAAAGAAATGTTAGTTCTTCAACTTATCTGTTAGTGTACTTCTAACTCTCTCTCTTTTCTGTTCCCATTAACAATTTATAGCAGTCTGTGTAAACTGAACATACTTTTAATGGCTTTGATGGAGTTTTTGCTTAGGAAACATTGTCAATTCTCACTATAGAATCTTTTTCTGCCACAATGTATGAGTGCTTATGTAAATTTTACATATTTCGAAATATATGTTGTTCACTGGCTGCTAATTTTTCAATTAGGTTTCACATATTCTCACGATTTTAGTGCAACCAATTATTGTTTCTCCATTCTCTGTTGCATGCCTACTCTTCCCTTTACAAGAAAACTAACTTTGGCTGGTTGTTTTGAGTTTTAGTTGAGGACATGTGTCTGCGATACCCAAATGCAACTGCAGTAAATGTTTATGGCACTCCTGCTATCCACCCCATTGTGATGAAAGCTGTCTCTTTGTTGAGGTAAATTTGATTTAATCTTTTTTATTAACGATTTTGTAATGGTGTGATCACTATATTCTTGTTGGTCCTTAGGAATCTTGAGGTTTTAACACTGGGAAAAGGTCAGTTGGGAGAGATTTTCTTCCAAGCCCTGACGAATTGCCAGATGTTGAGGAGTTTGACAGTGAATGATGCTACTTTGGGTAATGGCATTCAAGAAATTCCCATTTATAACGAGAGATTGCGTGATCTTCAAATAGTGAAATGTCGCGTGCTCCGCATCTCTATCAGGTGCAAGAGGCTTATAGCCCTGTTGGCATAAGTTTGTATTTAAATTATATTTTTAATCATTATTATTCTACATTATTTTTTCAGGTGCCCCCAGCTTGAAACTTTGTCTCTCAAACGCAGTAGTATGCCCCATGCAGTTCTTAATTGCCCCCTTCTGCGGGAGCTTGATATCGCTTCATGCCACAAGCTTACAGATGCCGCAATCCGTTCGGCAGCAACATCTTGTCCTCTCTTGGAATCCTTAGATATGTCCAATTGTTCGTCTGTCACTGATGAGACACTGCGAGAAATAGCTTCGACTTGTGGGAATCTCCAAATTCTTGATGCTTCATACTGCCCCAACATCTCTCTGGAAGTAAGATCTCTTTCTCTCACCCTCTCTCCCCCTTTTGTGTGTGTGTGTGTTTTCAATATTTTACATATCTATTTTCTTTCAATACTTATATATTCGAATTACTATCTAACATATCATTACCGTTTGAAGTCTGTGAGAATGCAGATGTTGACAGTTCTTAAGCTTCACAGCTGTGAGGGTATAACGTCAGCTTCAATGGTTGCCATAGCCTTTAGTGATATGCTTGAGGTTTGTAACTTCTCTTGAATATTTCTTCATTTGATAGTTATCATTATAATATGATTCTTCCAATTGGTTACCATATGTTGCCTGATATTACCTACCTATTCACTGTAGGTCCTCGAGCTTGACAACTGCAGTTTGTTAACGACAGTATCTTTAGATCTGCCACGCCTGAAGAACATAAGGCTTGTACACTGTCGGAAGTATGTCTTTCTGTTGCTCTTTTAGCCCTGACATCTGTCCCTTTTTGCTCAACTTATTAATTTATTTTCAATTTTGCAGATTCGTGGACTTGAGTTTAAGAAGCAGTGTACTGTCATCAATTACAGTTTCCAATTGCCCTTCTCTCAGGCGAATCAGCATTACATCAAATGCACTTACCGTATGTGGTCTATTCATATTTTTTGTTCCATGACAAATTGTGATGACTTCAATGAATGAGGTTCTTTGGTTATGTGGACCATGTTATCCTTTATATTTATGACCAAATTTACTTGCAGAAACTGGTTTTGCAAAAGCAAGAGAGCTTGACGAACTTAGCACTGCAGTGTCCTTGCTTGCAAGAAGTCGACCTTAGTGAATGTGAATCTTTGACAAATTCCATATGTGAAGTTTTCAGTGATGGCGGAGGCTGTCCAGTCTTGAGATCATTAGTACTTGATAATTGCGAGGTTTGTCACCATAACTTAATTTTAACCTAAAATTCTGGTGTCCTCTGATATAATTCCACTGATATCTGAAAGTTAATTATGATTAGATTTTTTTTTTTTTTTTGTTTTGGTCTATAAATATATTATGGTGTACATTTCAGGGAAGATTGTGATTGTACTTGGTAAATTCTTGAGTACTGAAGCAATGTGATGTCTGTGCACTAGATATGTATGACAATTGACTATGTTATGGTTCTTTTTTTCAGTTTCATCAGAATTTATAAAAGGGGCTTCTGCATATAGAACTTGAATTCTAGATGAACCAGAGATCAAAAGAGGACTTGTCCTCGACAACACTGAGAGATTTAAGAAAACAATGTTACTATTTTTGGATCCAACACTTGTTAAATCTTAGCGTAGTCCATAGCTTGATATCGATGGGTGTTATATAATACTTTCATCTGATTCTTGCTGTTACTCTTTCTCAGAGCTTGACAACAGTGAGTTTCACAAGTACGTCATTGGTTAGCGTATCACTTGGTGGTTGTCGTGCAATATATACTCTTGAACTAAAATGCCCCTACCTCGAGTATGTCTCATTAGATGGCTGTGACCATCTTGAGAGAGCATCATTTGCACCTGTAAGTCATCTTTTTATTGATCCCTTGGTCCTTTCTCTGTATGGAGATTGGATTTCTATGCATTGAATGTCTGTCTTATAGTCATAAATCTAAAACATTTTCCAAGATAGACCCACTGAATTGAATTTGGATAATTGCTGCTTTTTCTGAAATTGTGATGGTTACATTTTCTGAACCCTATCTTGCGATTATATTGCTTATTTATTTTCAGTCACTTGATTTGGATTTTACTCAAAATCTTTTGCAAATCTGTTGCAGATTGGCCTCAAGTCCTTGAATATGGGCATATGCCCTAAACTGAATGTGCTCCATGTGGAAGCTCCCGCGATGGTTTCACTCGAATTAAAGGGTTGTGGTGTACTGTCTGAAGCATATATCCATTGCCCGCTTTTGACATCTTTGGATGCTTCATTTTGCGGGTGTGATTTCTTAGTTAAATTTCATGGTCATTTAATTTCCAGATTATAGAAAATGCTATTTCACTGTCAATATTGTGTTTGGTGTGTGCAGTGTTCTGAAGGATCATTGCTTGTCTGCAACAGCCTATTCATGTCCGCTTATTGAGTCATTGGTGTTAATGTCGTGCCACTTAGTGGGTGCTAATGGGCTCTCGTCATTGCACTGCCTTTCGAACTTGACCTACCTGGATCTATCCTACACATTCTTGGTTAACCTGCAGCCTGTTTTCGACTCATGTTTGCGTCTGAAGGTATTCACTACGTCTGTTATCTGCATCCTTCCTTTTTACTATGAATATATGTCCTTACAAGTATATTAGGACCAAGGACATCGACGAACACTGTCTGTTGCAATTCTCTTCTCGTTTTTATTTCGTTTTTATTTCTTTTAGTTAAATAGTTTACATACGCATTTACAGTTATTTTCCCCTTCCACACAAAATTATTTAGTATAGATGTTTGACATGAAGACACTTCTCTCGTTTCAGACAAATGCATTACACAAACTACACACCAACAATTCGTAAATACTGTATTTTTTATTTTCTTTTCTAACTCTTACTGACATAACCAATTGAAAAAAAAATTATATATCATGCGGCAGAGTTGAAATATATGGATACCCACTTCAGAAAAACTGTAAGAATGAGATAAACGGACTGTTAATCCAAACACAACTTTGTTTTTTTTTTTTTTTTTTTATGTTGTGTTCACTTGTGATCTGTATTTTTATAGGTTCTGAAATTGCAAGCATGCAAGTATGTTAGTGACACATCACTGGAGCCTCTCTACAAAGGCGGTGCCCTCCCGGCTCTCACCGAGCTCGACCTGTCCTATGGGTCTCTATCCCAGTCGGCAATAGAAGAGCTGCTGGCCGGCTGCATGCACTTAACTCACGTCAGCTTAAATGGATGTGCCAACTTGCATGACCTGGACTGGAGTTTTCATTGCCAGGGGTTATATGGAAACACTACCTTCGAACAGTTTGGCTCTTCTTCTAGTGGCACTCTCGTCCAACGTGATCGCATGCTTCAGAATCTCAACTGTGTTGGTTGTCAAAAGATTAAGAAAGTGATTATTCCTTCTACTGCGAGATGTGTCCATCTATCGTCCTTGAACCTTTCTTTGTCTTTAAACCTGAAGGAAGTTGATATATCGTGTTCCAATTTGTTCTTTCTGAACTTGAGGTATGCATCTATGATCTATCCCTCTTTCTGTTATTTTATTGCTTCCGATTTTGTGGGAGTCGGATTTTCCTGTTCTTGATCTTGGCCTTGTGTTGTTTGATCAGCAATTGTACTTCGCTGGAAATTCTGAAGCTTGATTGTCCAAGATTGACTAGTCTTTTCCTTCAGGTAATGTTCTTTTAGTGTTGTTACTGCTGCTGTTGTTTCTGCACATGTGCTGATAGTTGTCGAGGGGAAATGCTCACAATTAGTGGATTGTGGTCAATTCTTTGTGTCAAACAAATTGTTTTACTTAAATGAAGTTTAACTGAAATTGTAAATTATTTGGCTGGCTTATTAATGTCTTTTCAAATGTGAATATTTTCGGTGAGTTCTGACTGCAAAGTTCTGTTGTCTGATATATAATTTCCATCCTTTACCTATGCTAAGTGTAACGTTTTGTTTTCCAATTCGTAAGAGTTTAAAGTTTCGAGTGATGGCGTCCTCATGAACGATAATTTAGTAGCAAATTTGATGCTTTCACTCGAGATGCCTAACCTTTAGTTGTTTGCTTGTTGTCAAGCTATCACTAACACCTGGGTTTTTTTATCTTGTCTATGCATATATGTTGTATATATCAGTCTTGTAATATTGATGGGGAGGTTGTTGAAGTTGCCATAAAGAATTGCACTATGCTCGAGACACTGGACGTCCGTTTTTGCCCCAAGGTGACTAATATACCATGCTTTTATCCACTGGACACTGCACACACACACACGATTTGTTTTTAAGCCATTGAATAAATTGAAGATATGGATTTTCTTTTCACTTGACAGATACTTCCATCGAGCATGGGCATGTTACGTGCAGCATGCCCGAGTTTGAAACGAATATTTAGCAGCCTTGTGGCGGCATGATGTGAAGACAGGGTTAAAAATGTCCGGGTGAGCTTGGTTTGAATCTTATATATCAAAGCAGCATGGCAGTAGTTACTTCTGCTGCTCTACTGTACATAGGAAAAGTTGTGTGGTTTTATAGAAAAATTTCTGTGTACTTTCTGTTGTGATGACGACATGTTTGTTCGTAACTCTTAAACCTAGAGTTTCCTAAAATCGTGCCGAAGCATGATTTGGCCGAGTATGTACTGTACTTTGTTTTTTTCCGAGATACCGAAGCAAATGATGTCTTTATTAACTTTGAAGCATGAAATAAATTTGGAATGTTATGGAGCAAGAGTTCCAAGGGATGCATATTTTGTGTTTGTTGGTATATAATTACAGTAGAGATTTTAACTGCTTTAATAGTTGAGGGTCCAAGTTTTATGGGTTTATTATTTTATTACTAAAATTTAACTAAACATAAGAAAACCCAAATGAAAGTAAGGTGGTGTATTCAACTTAAACTTTTAGACACTTTTTTAACAAATTTAAAATTTGAATATTTTGAAACCTCCAAAAAGTTTAGATTTACTTGAGATTTTTAAAGACATTATAAATGTCTAAAATCTTCTTTGCCCTTTCCGGGTAGATCTTCTCATTGACAACAATAGGTTTTTCTTTCTATGACTTTACTTCGCTTTGCTTCGTTCGTTGGGTCTTTCATTCCGCCTAAAAAGTCTATTAAGTTACAACTTTTTAAAAATCTCTATAAGTCATTCAATATTCAAAATAGAACGGACTTTATAAACTTTTTAAATTATACGATTTTTAGAGACTTGTAACAAAATTATTAAGACAAAGTTTTAGCAGAAATCTCATTAAAGGTGAGATTTTTTTTTTTTACCCAAAACGATAGATAATATTATAAATCAAAATGCACAAATGTGCGAATACAAAACAGCCAATGACTGAATACACAACAACCAACATATGAAAAAGTGAGAGGACAGGTCAGAAGACCGCCTAGAATCCCGGCTAGCAACGCTAGAATAAAAACACTCGCAACTATACTAACCAACAACACAAACCACTAAAACAGCTAAAAAGACCCCAACATGGTAATACCCGAGTGTCAGATCCCAAAAGGATAATAAGTTTGACACTCGGGTTCACACGGACAACAGTCCAAACCAAAAACACAATACACTCAAAACACAAATACGAAACCTAAAACAAGAACACAAATAAACTAAAAAAATCTAAACGCCCTTTTCCATCGAACGAGCAAGCCCGAACCAGCAGTGTACGATCGACACAAGAAAGATCCAGACCAAGAACCTGCTACCGAAATTGCAATCAAGCCTATACAGTAGCAGAACCTTAACCCCAAACCAGTCTCAGAATCGACCCGTCAAAAACTGAGAGAGCCAAAGTCCGCCCCACACTGATTCTAACTGAACTCTTCTAACACCACTAGACGAGGCCGATAGAACCTCCCCCGCCGCCTAACACCACTAGACAAACGGGGGATAGTGCGAGAGAAACCCAACCCTCACCTCGACCGCCACAACCGGAATGCCGCAGAAAATTAGAGCCCCGCCCTGCCCGAAGACAAGCACGCTGCCCAACATCGCCACAGAGAACTGACGACCAGAGTCCCGGGTCCCACCCAAGCGGCGGAGCCCTGCGGAAAGGCAGAAAGCTAAAATTGCAGACCGAGGGGAGATGGAGGGGCATACCGTCGCTAATCGGAGAACCACCGACGAATGAGGGAAAGACAACACTCGCTGGCTAGTCGCCGACCTTGAAGGACACCACCATCGACCGAAACCTAGTCAGCAACCTAGAACCCGACCTCCGATCACGGATCTGCCACAACAACATCGAGTCGTGCTACTTCAGGGGAAGGTGGAGCAGTAAGTGAAGACCCTTAGCCGGGGCATCACCGTCGACGAGGAAGACAAACAACCGAAATTGAAGAGAGGGCGACTGAGAGAAGAATTTGGGGAAATGGTTTCCTGGAGCGAGAGCGTGTTTAAACACAAAGTGGTGAGATTTATTGGGCTTATGTGACTTTATTTATACTTTATTTTCTCTATATTGTTAATTATGACTTTTTTTTTTCGAAACGATAGTAGATATTATAAATCAAAAAAGCACAAAAGTGCAAATACACAGCAGCCAACGGCTGAATGCACAACAACCAACAGCTGAAAAAGTGGGAGGACAGGTCTGAAGACCGCCTAGAATCCCGACTAGCAACGCTAGAATAAAAAACACTCGCAACTAAACTAACCAACAACACAAACCACTAAAACAAACTACAAGACCCCAACAGGGTAATACCCGAGTGCCGGACCGCTACAGGGTAATACCCGAGTGTCGGACCCCACCAGGGTAATAAGGTGACACTGGGGCGCACAGAGTAACACTCGGGCGCACTGAGGCAACGACTCAAACCAAAAAAAAACATAAGATAGCATCAACACTCAGGCAAAAAGCCCAAACAAAATACGATCCTACTACACAAGACATCAAAAAGGAAATAAAAAACACAAATACAAGCCCTCCCTCCACAGCAACTCCTAACCAGACTAGCAGCCACCAAATCAACCCAAGAGAGACCCACCGCTTGAGATAAACGACCCTCCACTGCAATTAAGCCTAGATGAATCGCAACTCGATCCATGAGACCTTCCAAAATCCGATTCTCCCCTACACCCAAGGTACCGAGGAGCTCCCAACACAGCCAACCGAGCCCCCTAACACCACTAGAGGGCTCAGGAGAGCCGAGAACACACCAAATCCCAAACACAAGGAGCTGGGGAAAAGGAGCCGATTTAATACCTCAACCTCAGCCACCCCATCCCGAAGGCCAAAAAAAACTGAGCACCTCAAGAGCCCACCCTCGAACCACCAAACACCGTCGACCGCAGGCAAAAGAAAACCGAGACAAGATCGGAAGGAAGGAGACTCACCCTCAATCGAGACCGACAACCGCCCAATCGTCGACCAAACGCGCTCCGCCTTCACACACCAAACCGCCGACATAAAAGAACAAAGCGGTCCGACATCTCCTGAACCCCGTGGCGACCGAAAGCACGTCGTCGAAGTTGAATTTGGGGAAAGGGAGAGGACCTCCTGATAAATCCAAGACATTCAACTGAAAATGAAGGACTGCCAGAGCTGCCCCGACCCAGACCCAGAGCACCGCGATTCAAGGTCGCCCCTCAGCCACGAATTGATCGGCGATGGTGAACCCTAGTCCGATTCCCAAAGAAAAATGAATTAAAACTGCGCCACCATGACCTCCGATGATAGAGGCGATCTTGGTCGCGGCATCTGGGGGGCCGGGCGGCGAGGAGGGGACTGCCAGAGAGGCCGACAGCCGAGAGAGAGGCGTCGATTTTCAGTGAAGAGCTACGTAAAGAAGAGGGATTTTTGGGGTTTTTCTCGCTGCGGGAGACTGTACTTTATATCCCATGCCACTTTCATTCTCTGTAGATTTTTATTTTCATCATTAATTAATTTTGTTGTTGTTGTTTTCAACTTTAAATCTCCAAGTCTGTTGCACATAGGTTTATTGTTGATTATTCGATTCGTGACTTGTACATATTGAGATCCTCGCAAATCCCGACAGATGTAATAATCGAAGTTCATTATATTGAGCTTTTAGTTTTTTAGTTTCATTAATTGGTTTAGTTTTTCAATATTTCTTACACACTAAATAACTGGGTTTGTTTTCTCTTTTACAAAACTTTTTGTGCTTAGAGATTAAGTATTTATATAGTTGAGAGGGATCCATAAATATTTTGAAGTTCACGTGTCTGTGGCAAGAGAAATAATCAATAGGGTCGGGTATAGTGCTAGCTAGACTAGGATGGAGTCTAATACAAGTCTCGCACTCCGACCGACTGGAAATCGTCTCGAGCTCACTCTCCTCGCCGGTAATACGCAGAACCTGCACGCAACTCTCACACCGGGGGTGTTTTCCGGTGAAGAGCCTTCAACGCTCAAGTCAGATCTTAAGAAAGATGAAGATATATGTGTAAATGTATAAGAGTATGAGAAATTGTGTCTAAAATGAGAGTTACCTTTTCTACACGCGCGACCTAGGCGGGTCCGGCTGGCAGCCGTCCTGCTCGTCCGTACAACCGCGCGCCTCCACTATCTTTGGTGTCAGAAAACGCGTCAAATATGTCAGAGAATGTCAGAGTTCGTTATCGTCGTGGACCACTCGTAAAGCGCCACATGTCCTCCCTCCACGTGCTGGAGATTCTCTTGTGTATTCTGATGTTCGACCAAATCTGTAATGAATGTTGGGCTGTCTTTGAGGTATGAGGTACTCGAGTCCACGACCATGCTTGCCAGACCAATTTTTCTCGACCAACTCCTCGAGTAGCCAATGCTTGTTCGATACCACTGAACCTGCTCTTCTCCGTCGTTTACCTTCCTTCCTGAGTTACAAATGTCCGACCCAGTTCGACCAGGCAACCGACCTATTTTACTTGGTCGTTCCGAAGAACCAGTCTAGTATATAATATCCTATATCATCTAGTCCCACCACTCTGGTCGAGTCTGAATGAATCGATCTAAGAGTAGGTTGTCTGTGTCGCCGAGGTTCCACTTCACCCGTTTTGACCACCTAGCGCACTTCCTACCTTTGTTCGACCACTTTTCTCCATAACCGCCATTTTGCGATTTTGAATTTTGAATTTCGCCACTTGTCCGCCTTTTCAGACGCGTCCTTTCGTCTGTCAGGCGTCATCTTTGCCTCGTGACCTGCACTTCCTCGTACTTTGTGCCGCCTTAAAACCCTTCTTCCTGATGGTCGTCGGATCAACCACTTTAATCTGACGGTTAGTGGTCTTCTGCCTGTTCACCTGCCTTCTCATCGTAACCCTTCACGTTTTATGATCCAACGGATGACGATTCTTCGTGCTCCCTCTCCCTCCTTATAAGTATTCACACTTGGGAATTTTTTTTTTCCTTTTCTTCACTCTCGCACTCCATCGCACTAAAACTTTATGCAACTGTCG